TTTAAAAATTATAACTTTAAAATTTTAAAATATTTTCATTGTTAGTTTTAATTTAGACTATATTACTTTATAACAGAAGGATAATTACTCATAGTAAGTAAAAATTTTTTCCTATCAAAGTATATGTAAATTACAATTTTAAACTTTTAATTTAGATATTATTTAAGTAATATTAATGGCAAACTACAAAACTATCTAAGTCATTTCTCAGAATTAGTAAACTTTATGTATTAATTCAAGTTTAAGTATGTATATGAGGTTACATTTTTTTTTTTTTTTTTTATATATATATAAACCTAGTGATATAATGTTTCTCATGTAAGTACAAGGACATGGGTCATTCAAAAGCTTACATCTTATGGCATTTCATATTAATTTTATTTTACTATATTTGCTTTTTGGGATTCTTTTTAGTGCGTGTAGTATTATTTAAAAAGAAACTTAGGTTAGAATTCATTCAATTTTAGTTTCAATTTTAAAATTACAAACTTTAAACTTTTGAAATATTTTCATTGTTAGTTATATTAGACTATATTACTTTATAACAGAAGGAATATTACTCATAGTAAGTAAAATTATTTTTCAATATCAAGTATATAAATTAAATTTTTAAACCTTTATATTTTAAAATATTATTTTAGTAATATTAATGGAACTTACTACAAAATTAGCCAAGTCATTTCTTGATTTAGTAAACTTTATTTATTACTTAATTTATTTATTTATTTTAAATATATGTAACCTAAGTAGTAAAGTTTCATATGTATGTACCAAGAACAGGTTAGAATTCATTTATTTAACTACAATTTTAATTACAATTTTAAAATTACCACATTAAAATTTTAAAATATTTTCATTGTTAGTTTTAATTGACTATATTACTTTATAACAGAAGGATAATTACTCATAGTAAAGTATAATTATTTTCCATAACAAAGTATATGTAAATTACAATTTTAAACTATTATATTTAAATATTTAAGTAATATAAATAATAGACTACAAAAACTATCTAAGTCATTTCTGATTTAGTAAACTTTATGTATTAATTAATTAAATTATTTATTTTAAATATATGTAACCTGGTAATAAAGTTTCATATGTATGTACAAAGAACAATGGGTCATACATTACCTTACATCATCTAGCTTTAGTTATAATTTCATTTTTCAGGAGGTGTTTTATCGGATTCATTCAAGTGTTTGTAGTACATTTATTATAGAGGTGTTTCGGTTAGGATACATTTTATTTAATTACAATTTTTAAACGGTGTTTATGTTTTAATACGTTTTTAACCACAATTTTAAATAACAGTTTAAAACATTTTCCTGCCATTCAATAGACTTTTTTTTTTTTTTTTTTTTTTTATATATTATTTAAGGAAAATTTTTGACAATGAATATAAATATTTCATTTCTCTGATTCAGTAAATTTTTATTTTTATAAACTTAGTAATATATAGTTTTTCTCTTGTATAAATAATTGGTTTAATGATCTACAAATTCTAGCTCTTCTTATTAACTTCCATTTTACTGTAGGTGTTTTATTTGATTCTTTTAGATGCCAAAAATTTTTTGAGAGATGTTTGATTTTTATATTTATTATTTATTCTAAATGAAGTTTGATGTTGGTTGAATCTTTTTTGAATTGTGGCTAGTGCAACCTATATATATTTTTATGTTTCAATTTCAATCGAAGAGATATTGCATATATATTTAATGATTCAGTGCAACATTTATTTTATATGGGCAATTAATAACAATTACATAGTTTTTTGTTTATTTACATCAGTTTTATCTTAATTTTCTATTGTCTAAATTTTTTGGTTTTTGTATAAGTGTTTATTTAAATATTAGCATTATGGTTATGATTTTTTCTAAGTTCTTTGTACAGCTATAACTTAATTTTAAACTTAGTTTATTTTCACAAGGAAATGCTTGACTATTAATGTGAGGAATTTATGTCCTAATCTGTTCTTTACCATTTGGTTATATATAGTTTTTCTACATCTGTTTTTTCTATGTTTTCCATTTTCATTTTTTATATACGCATAGCCACTATCTTTTAGAGCCTTATTATAGCCATTGATATGCTCATCTTGGATTGTACTAATCTGTTTACTTATAGATAACGGTATATGTTTAATTATAGATGGGGGGTGATTTGATTTAGGATGTATATATAAAGGATTGGTGTTGTTTTTTTTTTTGTTTTTTTGTTATAATTTTAAAATTTTAAAATTGAAATTAAAATTGTAGTAAAATAAAATGAATTCTAACATGTTATTTATACATACATATGAAACTTTATTAATTAGGTTACATATATTTGAAATAAATAAATTAATTAATTAATAAATAAATAAAGTTTACTAAATCTGAGAAATGACTTTAGCTAGTTTTGTAGTAAGTGCCATTAATATTACTTAAATAATATTTAAATTTAAAGAAAAAAAAAAAAAAAAAAAAAAAATTTACATATACTTTGATATGGAAAAAATAATCTTACTTAATATGAGTAATTTTCCTTCTGTTATAAAGTAATATAGTCTATTAAAACTAAACAATGAAAATATTTTAAAATTTTAAAGTTGTAATTTTGAATTTGTAATTAAAATTGTAGTTAAATTGAATGAATTCTAACCTAAATTTCTTTTAAATAATACTACACGCATTAAAAAGAATCCAAAAATAACACCTATAGTAAAATAAAATTAATATGAAATACCATAAGCTTTTGAATGACCCATGTCCTCAGTACTTACATGTGAAATATTATAATAATAGGTTTATATATAAAAGAAAAGTTTACTGAATCAGTGAAATTAAGTAACCATTTCTGCTGTCATAGTCATATAAAAAAAAAAAAAAAAAAAAAAATGTAACCTCATATACATACTTAAACTTAATGTTAAAATAATCCTACATAATATAATGGATTCTAATACATTTAACTGTTCTTAAAAGAATATAGTAAAATAAAAATTAAAAAGGAAAATATTTCAAATCGTAGTTAAATAAAAAAGTATTGTAAAAAAATCTTTAATTTTAAAAGATGACGTTGAAAATTTTTATCGTTAACAATTTTTTTTTTTTTTTTTTTTTTTTTTTAAAATTCAGACGACATCCATTCAACCGACGTCAGGTTTCAGTGTAAAATACATCCTCACCCCCTTACCAAAATGTAGCTAATAACTGATACAATGATACTGTCATAAGGAAAATCTAGACACCCGTGTTCAATTTGAGTAGAATATTCTGTAACCATGGAAACGTGATTTTAGCTGTGTATTTAAAACCCGGTAAATTTTAAAAGTTACTCCAAAATTCGCTTGAAGATGAAATAGAACTAATGCTTTTAATTTATTTGCAAAAATAAAATTAGGGTTTTTAGCTTCTATTTTTGAAACATGGTTGGAACTGTGTAGCGAAAATAACCATATTTTAAATCAATTAATTTATAATATATATATATATATATATATATATATATATAATTCGATATATTTATAGTACTAAAAGAGTACTGAATATCGAAGGTAGAGCGCTTGTATATATGGATTGTGCGAATATAGGTATCAACATTTTATGGTGATTGTTAGCTGTATACTACAGTGCGGTTTTCGGAAGACACGTGGTCTGAAGATCGCACTAAATTTTGTCGCCTTACCATCCATCAGTGTCCCCACTCTGCGATCATTTCTCACAAATTCGCCAGTTAGACTTCTCTGCATCCTTTGCTTTCAATATATTGTGTGTGTGTTAAATTCTCCAAACCCTCTTTTCTCATAATGTGTCCCAAATATTTCAATGGTTTATTTCTTAGTATAAGTGCCCTTCGTTTTGCCTGCTTATTTGCTTGAATGATTTGTTTTTTACGGCTTATCAACTCATTGCAGGTTATTTAAAGCCAGGAAATATTTTAAGGGTATTTGCGCGTAAGTGAATATAACGAACCCAACGGGAATTAGAACTCGGCTCTCCGATTAGCAATTCCGAGGTATTATCCATTACTCCACCCGCACATCAAAGCTTCCAGCACCTGGTATTCTGTCACTCATGTAGGTACTAACAAGACTCGACGTTGCTTAACTTCGGTGATAGTACAGGAACAGTTTTTTTCTTATCTTAATTATTATATATTTTTTTTTATAGATACAGTCGTTTCGACTAAGTACACTCGGACCATCTTCAGGTGTCTATTGTATTGGTTTATAGGGTTTATTTGTTGATTATTGTGCTATTTTGTCTTTGTGACAAAACTACACAACAGACAACTGAAAATGGCAAAGGATTACCTGGTCGAAACGTTTTTACATATAATCTTTTATGTGACGTGTCCCTTCAGGACGTGGACGATTATGGTTCTTCATTACTTCCTGTCTTTCGTAACTAAGTAATGTTTGTCTCTTTACTATTCCTTCCACTCAATGTCCTACCATTCATTTCCATAAGCTCGTTAAGTTGATCATGTCTCTCCACAACTTCCTATCCTTTGTAGGTCTTAGCAATATTTGTCTTTTTACTATCCTTCCAACTACTTGTACTGTCATCCATTTACACAAGCGCATTAGGTAGGTGATCATGGCTCTCCACAACTTCCTATCCTTTGTAGATCTAAGCAATATTTGTTTTCTTATTATCCTCTCACTCCCTGTTCTACCATCCATTTGCACAAGCTTGTTAGAGAAGCTGATCATGGCTCTCCACAACTTCCCATGTAGCTCTAAGCAATATTTGTTTCCTTACTATCCGTCCGACTCCTGTTCTGCCATCCATTTACACAAGCTTGTTAGGTAGGTTGATTATGGCTCTCCACATCTTCCTATCCTTTGTAACTCTAAGCAGTATTAGGTAGAGTACTTGCTGTTTCCTTCTGCCCCTCTTGTATTCAATTTCTCTAAATCATCTTTTTTCAATTGTCACTTTTACCTTAAAAATCCTTGTTGTTCACATGTTACGCCTATTGTATTCTCATCAACGTTTTGTAGAAGCACAGGATTACGGCCATATCACGTTGAAATACCGGTTCTCGTACGAACACCGAAGTTAAGCAACAATGAATCTGGTCAGTACCTAGATGGGTAGCCGCTTGGGAATACCAGCTGCTGTAAACTTGGATGTGCCGGTGTCCTAATGAATAACGGCTCAGAATTGGAAATTGGTGAGCCGAGTTCCAATTCCAGTCGGGTTCGTTATATTCACTCCAAATTCACTGCAAATACCACCTCTTCTTCCCCTCAACTATAAGTTAATTAGCGAGACGTGTCTCAGTAAATCATGTTTATATCCAATAAAATTCTTACAATGTAAAATATATATTCTGCCTTTAAATAACCTGTAAAATGTTGATAAGCCGTACAAAAAACAAATCAGTCCATTCGTCCATGCTTAGAATATTGATGCTACATATGACCCGGTGCTCCTGTTATATATTTAGAGATTCTTGATAAAATCCAAAGAAGAATCTGCAATGTTATTGCTCCTGTCCTGGCATCTCGGCTTCTGTCATTTTCCCACCGCCGTAATGTTGCCTCTCTGTGTCTTTTCTATAAATACTTTCATAGTAATTGTTCGGATGAACTCTCCTCTATGGTGTCTAAATTCTATAGCAGTACTAGATTGGCGACTAGGTCTGATTATTTTACGGTTGAAATGACTAAATGCAACCGTAAGTTCTATGCTAAGATTTTCTTTTCTCGGACTGCCTGATTGTGGAATTCTCTTCCGGATTCTTGCTTTCAATTCAACTTTGATCTTCAAAAATTGAAATGCAATGTAAATCGTTATCGTTTGTCTTTTTAATTCCTGTTTTTTTTTTTTTTTTTTTTTTTTTGTTCTCGCTCCCCGGTCTTTCGAACAAGCGTAGGGTCCCCTAACCCCTGTTTTTCTAGGATTACGTTTCCGGTTCCTTCTAAAGTCTTTTCCTGATTTTTCACTTTCGGTAGCCCCCTTGCGTCATAATGGCGTTATCATGTCGCTTGGGGTGAATTGATTAAAAAAATATAAATATTGTTGCACACCCTGCGTGTTAGTGATTTTATTTTCATTCTTGAGGTGAAATGATTTAAAAAAATCAATCAATATGTTACCTCGAGTTTCCTTTTCATTTGCGAGAAAATTATCCTGCATTCACTGCCATGTAAGGGGATTGGTATTAAATAGCAAATTTAACACTATCTTTTTTAAATTTTATTTCTAATGTATTTTTTTTTCCGTTTCTTAATAATTTCTTTGGCTCTTGGAAGCCATCTTACGCTATTAACCGAGATGAAATAGGTTGAATAAATCAACAAAGTATCCCCATTTCCATTAAAAAAAGAAAAACTTCCTCATTACTGATTTATGAAAGGCGCAACTAACCAACTTCGCTATGTGGTTGAAGTTTAGATCGTTTGTTTTTTTAAGAACACTGACTATAAAAGAAATGAAAATAAAGGGGGAAAATTGCTGAATTGAAACCTGTCAAATTTCTTGCTTTTTTTTTCTGGAATTTAGGCGTGGCGACTGAGAATTCCAGATATCAAATTATATTTTGACAATTCCTATCTTAACTTGTCTAAACGTACATGGTCAACTGTGTTACCGTGTATACTCGTGTATAAGTCTACTTCATATATAGTGCGACCCAGATTTTTTTTTATGTAAAACCTCATTGTTCCCATATAGCTCGTGTATAATTCGACCCCACCTTCTGAGCAATACTAGTGGGCCTGCCGTAGACAAATATTGCAGAACTAGGCATAATCCTGTACATATTTTATAGCAAATAAATAATATTCATTCTTCTTTGTATAAAGCTACCCAAAAATGTTAAGAAAAACCACTTAACATATCGTTAAGAAATGTTCTGTAAAAAAACTATTTTCTTCGGTGTATTGTAAATAATATCTCCCTGTAGTGTATACCATAATACATTGTGTATAATTTATATATGAATAGTGGGGTATGCATTTAATACTCCTCAATTTTGTGAATTCCTATTGATAATATTACTGTATATCTCTATCTATAAAAGGCAGGATGTGTGTGTGTGTGTGTTTGTGTATGTGTGTGTGTGTGTTTGTGTATGTGTGTGTGTGTGTGTGTGTGTAACAAATGCACGGCCGCAATTTTTGACGGATTTGCACCAAAATTTACATGCACATGCTCCAAGTTAGCGATAAGGCCAAGACCGACTTGGCATTTCCCAACTCCCATCGATAGTGGAAATAATCGATTTTTTCATGCTTTTACGGCAGTCTTCATGTAGTTTGCGGCCATGTTCTACTGGCCAGAGTGAGAGCCTATAGTTGGCTGCCACGAGTAGGCAGGAAGATTCTATTGGCCAGCGTGAGAGCCATCAGCTGACTGACACGAATGTTAACTAGCATGCAAAAAAAAATCGATAGCTGCATTCGTCACAAGTGGGAAAAATTTAAATCTGCATGGCACTTTACTCCAATTGGCTCATTCGCTTACTTAAACTCAACGTTGATTCTGATTCCGCAGAACTGGGTTGGGTGTGAAAAAGTATGTGTTGTTAACATTCTTTTTTCATTCGGTTTTTCCAGTTACGAGTCCTTTTTTAAAGCTGATCGTTTTGTATTCATTTTGTTTAGTTCTTTTTTCGTAACAGATTTAATATTTAATATAGAGCTTAGAAAAACTTCGCAGTGTGAGATAGGCAAGAAGTAAGAAGTAAGTCAAGTGATAGTGATTGCTGTATGAGTCGTACGATTTTTGAATCAAGCACGGGCAACGCCGGGCTATGCTGCTAGTTGTAAATAAAGCTACTAGAATTAAAATTCGTTTAATATTTCACCCTGCGCAGTCACCATTTAGCGTATATTGCGTTGCATCTTGTCAAAATATTAAAAAATACGTAACGGAGAATCATAAGATTAAATAATACCAGTAAATGTAAAATAACATAATGAATATAAATTAATATAAATAAACAGAGGAAGACGGAATAAGGAACACAACTGAAACATATACAGTATATGAGAAACTATATATTACTAAGTTTATAAAAAATAAAAATTTACTGAATCAAAGAAATGAAATAGCTATTCTTTGCCGACATTGTCAAAAAATTTCCATAAATAATATTTAAAAATAAAATAAAACAAATGGGAGCTGGTAATATACATACTTATATTTGATATGAAAAACATAATTTTAAATAATTTAAGTAATTCTTTTACATTTACTTGATTTAAAAAGAAATATAGTCTATTAGTAATTAAGAGTAAAAATATTTTAAAATTGTAGTTAAATAAAACGTATTCTAACTCAAACACCCCGTTTAGAAAGAATCTTTAAGTATACAAGTACGAAAAAAAATGCCGAGAAACTTTTTGCCGTTAAAAAAAAAACCGAAAAAAGCGACGACATACGTTTAACGGATGTCAGAATTCGTTGAAAAAAATACACATCTAGCCTCCCTAAACTTAATCTCTTTTTCAAGCGTAACTCATAATTGATACAACAATCATACTTATTATAAAACCCAGGTTGTGTGTGTGTGTGTGTGTGTGTCTGTTCGTTTATATATTGGATCGGATTTCTTACATTTTTCAACCGATTTCAACAAAACTTCACAGGACTACATAAAATTACCTTGCGGTGGTTCTGACAGCGCCCCAAATTTGGAAAAACACAATTGTTTTTGCACGAAATCAATTTGAAAACACGATTAAGAGGCATCACGAGAATGAGGGGACAACTCATATCGAGTTATACTTATTATAAAACCCAGGTTGTTTTGTGTGTGTGTTCATTTTATATGGGATCGGATTTCCTACATTTTTCAAACCGATTTCAACAAAACTTCACTTTTTTTGGCAGGTAGTGTTTCTTATTGTCTTGCACACTTTTTTCTTTATTTTCACATTCAGAATGCTTTAAAAATTCTATTTACAAGACAATTGTTTAGAATAAAATTCTATTCAATCGGTAGACTCACAACGATTGAAAACAATGTTTTTGTTTGAGTTTGGGTTTGACCAATTCGTAAAAAAAAAAGAAGAAATAATTAAGACATGCGTGTCCGTCAACCTTAAACAATAATCTTTGTCAATTTCATTTTTCAGTCTTTATGATGGTCAATACTTGATGTCATTTTTCAGTCTTTATGATGGTTGATACTTGATCTATCTCTTACTGTTACATCCTCGGGCAACGCCGGGCTCTACTGCTAGTAGTTAATAAAAATGAACACGCTACTGCCCCTGTCTGAATGATTGGATTTCTCTGTATCCTTGGAAACATGAAATTATAAATTTATATATACGTTTAAAACTCAGTAAATTTCAAAATAAGTTATTCCAAAATTCGTTTGAAGATGAAACAGAACTAATGCTTTTTTTAATTTAATTATATAATTAAATTTGAAGTTTTTAGCTTCAGTTTTTGAAACATGGTTATTACTGTGTAGCGAAGAAACCATATTTTAAATCAGTTAATTTATAATATTTATGCTCTGTAAATTTACATGGAACACTGTTTTGTAAAAATAATAAAAAAAAAAAACATCAATAAGAGCACCGGATTATATATCTTACTGTTCTTTCTTTTCATTCATATATATATATATATATATATATATATATATATATATATATATATATATATATATATATATATCAGAAGGGGTTCCGTTGGAGAAGCAATACCTCTGGGATATAAACACGTGTGAACGAAGATGAACGCAAGTTGGAGAAAGGAAAATAATAATAAAATAAACATTGTTAATTTTTCATTTATAAAAAGTATTTGTAGACTTTAAGCGGCACATGTAGTAAATGACGCTTTGTTGTTCATGTAGCAATAGAAAGGAAGAATATAGTCTATGGGAGGCAGGCTAAATGAGTTTACCTGTACCTTTAAGCTTAGCCAAGGGTATCATGAGAATGTAGGACTACCAGGTAGGTTACAGTCATTGAAAATGCATGCATTTTAACATTTCCAGAAAAATCAGCTGTATATAGTGCGACCAGTCACAGAAAATTAATGATTTTTAAACTCTTTAAAATAATTACCTGTGTATAGTATGACCCACTATTTTGGCGTAAAAATCATAAAAACGCGCATTATACACAAGTATGTACGGTAATATTTATTAGGTGTA